TGTTGAAAACTCTGATGCCACCTTGAACTAGCATAAAGACATACCTCCCAATTAAACTTTTGTTAAACTTAGACCCCTCCAATGTTCCAAATTTGTGATGGTGTCTGTTGTGTGCTCTCTTGATAGCAGCATCCGCCGACGGCACCACCTCTCGAGACTGGGCGACCTGCCCTTTACGCTATGGTGCATCCGTGAGGTGAAAAGAGAGTCGAAGCGCACGATCTTAGACCACTGGCACAGCTGTGTCAGTGGTAGCGGAGCCCTGGTTCAGCATCCGGGGCAGCATGTCAAGTGGTCTTTGGCGGAGCGCAGATGGCTACGGCTACAGTGGTGCGACATGGCGATGGGGCAGGGGTGAAGAGCCTGAGGCTTGGCCAGCATGGTCGGCGATGAGCTCAGCTGCTGGCGGTCAAGATGGGACGACGGCAGATGAGCTTGGTGACGCGCGACAGGCAGCTCCAGATCCGGGAGCTCTTCCAGGACCGACGTGGAATAGGAGACCCACTCAGAGGCAGTGGGACGGGGATGGCTGGCAGCAGAACCAGCACTGGAACGCTGTGGGGTGGCAGTGGAACCAGTGGTGGCAGCCCTCAGGTCAAGGTGCCCGGGGTGATTTTTCCGATCCACCAGCATGGGGCGGGTGGAGCAGTTACCGACTGTGGAAGAAGTCGGTGCGTCGATGGGATGCCAACACGGATGTGCCCACTTGGCGAAGATTTGAGAAGTTGTCGAAGCAGATGGATTGGGAGCTTCAGGCGAAGTTCGAACATGTTCCGGATTCGACACTTAGCTCGGCAGGCTACCTGGACGAAGTGCTGCGCATCTTGGACGCGGTCGCGGGCGAGAAGGAGGCAAGTGAGAAACGCAGGGTTGTGCGAGCAGCTCTGTTTGAGGGACAGAGGAGGAAGGACGAGACGCTGTCGCAGTTTGCGTTGCGACGGGAGCAGGAGTTCACCGGCATGGACCCATACCTGCCGGTTCCCTCGGAGTTGAAGGCTTTCATCTTAGAGGAGACCGCTGGGCTGACGAGGCAAGGCGTCCAGAACCTCCGGACTCTGACAGGTGGCGGCACTGACTACCAGAGGGTGATGAATGCTCTCAAGCTTCTTGACGTGGAGGAGGAGCCGCTGGTCAAGGGCAAGACGACTCTCTTGGTCGGTGACGACGAGGATGGCGGCGATGGAGAAGACAGCGAAGGCAGTGAGCTGGAGAACTTCATGGCCGAAGTTGATGGCATGGAGGAGGATGCGGCTTTGGAAGTACTGGCGGCGTGGGAAAAGGGGAAAGATCCTGCCAGGCGCTCTTGGAAAGAGAACAAAGAGCGCAAGTTGGCTGCTAAGAAGGACCGACGAGTTTTCGGACGAGGTGGGCGCCGAGGACGTCTTTCTTTGGATGAGCTGAAGAAGATTACGAAGTGCGCCAACTGCGGTGAGAAGGGGCATTGGCGGGATGAGTGCAAGAATCCCTATAAGCCTCGCCAGGTGAAGCCAGATGGAGGAGGCAGCGGTGGCAAAGCAGTCTCCTTCGTCTACTTTGGCCCGGGGAATGACCACCCGGCGGCCAGCACCTCGACGTTTGTGGGACTGGTGGGGGTTGGCAAGGCAACGGACCAGAACGATCTCGGCAGCACGATTCAACGCAAGTTCCAGGAGAAGGAGGCCCATGAGGCGCAGGATGACGCGGAGACCCAGGACGATCTCGACAGCATGATTCAGCGCAAGTTCCAGGAGAAGGAGGCCCATGAGGCGCAGGATGGTGTGGAGGTCCAGGACGATCTCGGCAGCACGATTCAGAGCGCAAGTTCCAGGAGAAGGAGGCCCATGAGGCGGTGGCTTCAGGTCGTCAGGCTCAGGACGATCTCGGCGGCACGATTCAGCGCAAGTTCCAGGTGAAGGAGGCCCTTGGTAGTGAAATGATAACAGAAGGACATCAGTGGTGTGGTGCAGTTGCTCTAGATTCAGCCTTGAAGCAGTGCCTTGAGAGCCGTGGTCTAGGACACGAAGGCAAGGAAGCGTCCATCTTTTTGTGCTTAGACCCAGGGCATGCCATATTGGACATTGGCGCTGGACAGGACTTGATGGGTCTTCCTGCCTACCAAAAGCTTGAGAAGCGTCTACGTGGCCAAGGTCTTCGCTGTGTGAAGGTTGACGGGTACTCAGCTCCTCCGTCTGGAGTGGGAGGCAAGGCAACTCCTTTGTTCCAGGCACTGGTTCCATGCATTCTTGGCAGAGTTCCTGGCATTGTCAAAGTGACGGTGGTCAAGGAGGACATACCTCATCTTCTGTCAGTTGGACTCCTGGAGGCGACCGGGGCATGCATCAATATGCGCTCGAACGTTGTCGAGTACCAGGAGCTCGGGACCAAGGAGCCCATGCAGCGACTGAGATCAGGACACCGTGCAGTCGATGTAGCCTCGTGGGAGGGTGGAGCTTTCCCTGTTCCAGATGGGCTGTGCCAAGAATACGGCTTGGCCCCTGATGCTTTTCAGCTACGTGACTCGCTCTCGAAGGATGCGAAATACATGAAGGGCTTTAGCAGATGGGAAGGGAACAGCAACGTCGGCTCTCTGGAGGGAGTGTGCAGTCTTTACCAGTGCAGGAGCGCAGAAGATCGAGTGTGTCATGATCATGGTACCACTAGGGATGTCCTTTGCACTCAGAAGCTTGGTGGTGAAACTCATGTTTGTGATGTCCGCGCTGCCCATGTAGCATCGGAAGGGACGTGTACTTTGCCCAACTCCGGTTCCAATTCGAAGCTCCTGTGTGATGAGCGAACCCGTCCTGCAGCGATGGAAAGAAATGACTCTCCTTGTGCTGGGGAAGGTGGTGCGCGAGGACTACAGGAGGGCGCACGAGCGCCAGGTGGACCGTCGATGCCCGCATCCGCCGGAGTCGGTGGTGAACGGCGCCAACCAGTACGGCAGCTGGGAGCGGTGTCTTCTGTGCAAGACGAAGCTGAGTTATGCTCCACACCGCGTGCGTCCCCCGCCGAAGAAGAAGGGCGCCAGACTCGAGACCGCGTACCAGACCCGGGAGGTGCCCAAGATGAAGGTGAAGGCCGGGTACGAGCCCCAGGCGAAGGCCCCTCAGGGGCACAGCGGCAGCTCCACCGACTCTGCGGAGATGATCGAGGCCCTGGGCAGGGTGATGTTGCAGAGCACAGCGGCGTTGCAGACGACCATGGCCGAGTCCAACCAGCAGGTCATGAGCGGAATCTCCGAGAGCAACCGCCAGGTCCGGGATGGCGACCTTGGTGGAATCCATGCACAGCTTGAGGAACGAAGTGGCGGCCGTGGCCCGCTCGAACCCCCTTCCGCAGTAGGACGTGCAGATGCCGAACGGCTTCTCCGAACAGCGCCAGTGAGTGAACAACGGGCGGGCAAGCTCCTGAGGCAAGAGGACGGGACTTACTTGACGGTTCTCAGGGGTGGTGAGGCACAGGAGATCCCCCAGGTCTTCTACCAAGGCCAGGCTCAGGTGGAGGGACTCCCCTTCAGCCGAGAAGGGAGACGCACCTGCTGTGCCGCTGGAGTCTCCCGGCCCTGGACGAGCACCTGCTCGACGAGGACCTGGCCGACGAGAGCTACGTGACGATCACCCGGAAGGAGAAGAAGAATCTTCGTCGAGGTTTCAAGCTGGCTGGCGAGCTTCACGGGCTAGGAGCCGGCCGGGCCAAGGCTAAAGTTTGGGAGGTCTTCGACAGCCTCCGCTTGGATGCCGAGGACCCACCTCTCTCTGGGGAGGGTGTTGTCAGCTCCCACTCTGTGATAGCTACAGGCCTTGTTTCCAGACATAGGTCAGAATTCGTTACTTTTGGGCACTGACGATCTGCGGGCCTACGGCCCGCTGCTCCCAC